TGACATTTTAGGTTGTTTCATTTCCTCTGCAGCAGTTGCAATCTGCCACTTCACCTGCAACAGTACTCTCAGATTTAGATGTAATGGGAAATTCTTGTGTTTCTCAACCTGGGTCTTACCCTCATATTTCTGACCATTGTGACAGCTAGTCACCTGATTGTATAGATTTGGTAACAAAGTCAAAGAGGACAAGGAGCAGGAATAGGACAGTAAGACCATGTTTGGTCTGAACTTCCCTTTAACAAAGAAATTGAAGGGCTTTTTCTGGACATGGGACTTCTGAGGAGCAACAGACAGAAGCCCTTTTTAAGTGCCAAAGTGTGCTGGAGTGGGAGCCAGCTCTGTGTGGCCGTGGTCCTGGGAGGAGAAGCAGTCATCAGAGTGGGTGAAGTGCAAGGCGATCTGGTTGTAGCTCAGCATAGCCTGCTGCTTCTCCTCCGGGCTGTAGTCCAGAGAGTGGGGGTGTACCTGCTGGATGTGCCTCTTGATGGTGCTGACCTTCAACGTGGCCAGAGTGGCTCCACACACTATGCAGATCAGCCCGTGTCTCCTGCAGTCGTAGTCCATCAGGTATTCCATCCGCCAGCGCACCTGGTAGTTCCTCCTCTGGTCCTTCCCGGGGTAATGGCTGTGACGAGAAGGCGTGGCTGCGGTGCTGCTGTCCTTCGCTTTACCTCTTCGCCCACTCACACCTTCCTCTTTCTTCACCGTTTTACTGGGTGTTGTGATATCTGGGCAGGCGTCGTCACATGTCTCTCCTGTAGTAGCTTCTCTAAGGTTGATTTCTGCAAAAACAAATGAAACTATCTTACGCTGATGTTCTTGTCTGTTTCTTTTTCCAAAACATTTTAACAATCAGGGCTGCTCTTCTTACAGGTTTCTATGTCATATTGTGTCTTAAAGCTGTAGTATATGAAGATTTCTATATTTTACCAATGAGACTAGAACACACTATTCCACCTATTTTATCCAATCAAATTATAAACTTTATAACAAGTTGATTTTAATGTAAGAGATGTCACTTCATCGTGGACCCCTGGATCCATCTGCACTATGAACCAGTTCATGGCTCTGTTATGAATCAGTTGACTGAAGCTACTACTACTGCACACAGCGTCTTCAAAATGTCCTAGAAGTTCAAAGGTCAGTACCAGATTAGCGACAGTAATGTCAGTTTAAAACAAAAGCAAACTGATCAACAAAACTATTTACAGATCAATAATAAAAGGTTAAGAAGAGATTTGGATCTTATTAGTGTGAAATGAAATAGTTACATGTAACATTTGCTGAGTCATCTCACCATCTTGAGATTGCATGTCTTCACTAGAATAATCTTTGGTCCAGGCAGCAGCCATGGCTTCCCTTTCTTGTCGGCTCAGGGTCGTGGTCTCAGGGTGACATTCCTTTATGTGGCGCCGGAAGCTGCTGACCTTGGTTTCGTGCAGGACCTGAGAACACACCATGCAGAACGTGTCCTGGCCCTGAGGCCCATAGGCCACCAGGTAGTCAAGGCGGAGCCGCCATGGGTCGCCCCCAGGCAGACGCCTCTTCCTGGGCTGACGAAGGGGCTGGGATCCCTGTTGCGGAGCTCCTACTCCGCCGTCCTCACCAATGAGACATGTTTCCTGAGTTAAAGTGCCATCACTTTCTGGATACAAGTCAGTGTTGATCTGGATGGCCTCCGCATCCTGAGCAAATAGGTCCATGCCTTCTTCTTTGGTGCTGGGCTCCGATTTGATTGAGTTTTCTGAATCTTCTGTTGTGGAGCAGAGAAACATATCATGTGTTATATCAAGCGCATTAAAAAAAGGTCTACTTTCCGACTACAGATCACATGAGGTTTTGGGACTGTTACGGTGTCAAACATTCATGGAAAGAGCCTGAATGATCAAACCAAATAGTCAACACACTCAGGAACTGTGGTTGGGAGGCAGTGTTGTAAGAGGGTGACAGGATGTCCAGGGTGCTTGGCTCATTATGTTACCTAGACAACACGGATCCAGATAAGTCATCATAAAAATGGTTACTGGATGAGTGGATTTGTGCTTGCGATACATTTCAAAGTTCAGACAGATAAGAATAAGGCCCAATCCCATTTCACCCCTTCTCCCTAACCCCGGTTATCGAGGGTCATCTTGCCCCTTGAAACGGAGTTACAGGGGTTAGTGGTTGAAATCATATACGAATTGGGTGAGCCCTTCCATTACATCATCATCGCGAAAAAACCTGACACGTCAAAAAATGTTGCCAGGGATGTTGTTGTTGAGATCTTAAATAAACCAAATCTATTGTTTGCCGTTAGTAAAGTTGCAAACCTGTGATATCCAAATAACATCTATGCTAATGCAGGTAAATCAATGAAAAGCCTGGATGCTCGGTATTACTTCACGTATGAATCAAAAGCACACAGCTTCAGGCTACTAGCCGTGGTCTGTATAAAACCCTGCCAGGAGGCTTTGTTATAAGAGGAGCAGTTCAGTTCAGTAACATCGCTGCTGGAAGCTGGTTAAATCAAGTGTATCGTGTATCTTCAATGGGACATGAAATTGTGTTTTTGAGTGCATACAGTGTGATGCAGTCTGTTCTCACCATGAGTCTGAGCCCAGGCCTGAAGGATGCAGTGCTTCTCCTCTGAGCTGAAGACCAGGGAGTTAGGGTGTGTGTCCAGCACATGGCTCTTGATGTGGTCAAGGTGAAGGGAGGGCAGCTCTCCTCCGCACACCATGCACAGCAGCCGGCCAGCCTCTGCTTCGTACTCCATCAGGAACTCCTGACGGAACCAAGCGTGCAGTGAGTCATTCAGGTAGCGCTCCAAAGTCTGAGCTGTTGGTCCGGAGAGATCCTCCTCCTCCTGCTCCTGGGGCTGCTGGACGTCAACCTCCTCAGACTGGGGAGACAGACTGAGGGCTTGTTGTGGCGGCTCATGGGGAGCAACAGGATCCAGGGCTTCTGCAGGGAATCAAGAAGACAGGACAGCTCGTATTCAAAAAACAAAAAACAAAAGGGGTCTTTCTGGTAATACCACCAGGGAGAAGAAATGTCCAATTAAAAAAATAACATCATTCATTTGACTGTTTTGTTCCAATGTGCAAACAGTATTACATTCAAAGCTTTGAAGAATTATGATATTTACATTTGTGAGCTTGTTCTTGTGCTACACTACTTACTCTTACCTACCAGGATCTATAAATGATTTACTAATCAGTTCTAAATGTTTGTTGTTTCATTTCAAAAAGTAGCAGGAGGTGTGGGGATGGTAACAAAGGGCCTGGAGGAAATTCATGCTATGCTCATGCTTTCAAGTAGGCTATGAAACATATTTATTTCCATTATTGTCTTAGTACATGTGCATGACTAAAGAAGTGCTGTGTCCACTTGTTTGCACTACATGCAAGGTCTGACTGGAAATAACAGTTAAATAACGAATGCAATTAAGTAAAAAGTAGCAATAAAGAGATGAAAACCTAAATATGAATCTCTGTTCAGTACAGAGGTGGAGTCAAAATGTGGTTAGCTTAGCTTAGAGACTGGATGAAGGGGGACACAGCTAGCCTGTTCGAAAATAAGGTATGTTCATCTAAGGTATGATGAGGGGGGTTATTTGGGGGGGTACTAATGTATTTCACACAGACTTTGTTTTCATTTTCTGATGAACTCTACCTTTAATTTAAAAAAAAGTTTAATTTCCAACAGAGAGTCTGTCAAAGCAGTGTTTTGTGCCACGTCACAGTTAAAATGCATGTGAATAATAAACATGTCTGCTCTGTTTTTCAATTCACTGAAATGTCAAAAGCTATAGTGATTGCTTTTCCCTTTCTACATGTCCCAACAGGCAATAATTCAAAATATATAGCTTCTCCAATATATCTAACATTTTTACCAGTCATGCCCAGGCACCGTCCTCCCCTCTCCATTCTCCGACACATCATTAGTGAATCATTACATCATTGTCTCCTCCTCTCACTCGGAGCCAAAACACAAACTTATACTGCCACCAAGTGTGAGATCTGCAACACTTCCAGCCTTGTCTGAGCAGAGTCATACCCACCAGCAGCATGTTGGCCTGAGTCCAGCTGCTCCTCTTCTTCCTGTGGTAAAGGTCCAGCAGCAGAGCTGTACGATCTCTGACTCCCCCCCAGGCTCAGATGGCTCTCCCAGCCCGAGCGGATAACCTCCTTGTCGGCAGCACTCCACAGCAGGGAGTCTGGGTGCTTCTGTCTTATGTGTCTTTTTATGGTGCTGAGCTTCAGAGTGGCCAGTGAGCTGCCGCACACCATGCAGATCATCCCGTGCCGCTGGGGGTCAAAGTCCATCAGGTACTCACTGCGCCAGTACTCGTGGTAGTAGCGGCGGTGGTCCCGACCTGGGATCCGGCTGAGGCCTGGGCGCGAGGCCCTCTGGACCCTGGGCTTTCGTCCAGAGGGCCCAGGGGCCGGCGAAAGGAGCAGCGGGTGGTCAGGTCCCTCCGTGATGCTCCAGTAGCTGGTACCTGGAGATCTGACAGGCGTGACCATGCCAGCCCCTGACTCCTCCCCACCATGGCCGTTGGCAAGACCATCCTCTTCTAGCAGAAAGAGAGAGAATACAAATAAATCTTTTTAGTTTGTAACTTCAGACAAGTACGGTAAATATCTCTTTAGTATGGACAAGCAGTCCTATGTTTTCTAACAGGCCACATTCTTTTGGGGGTGTTCAATGGCTCAAAAACACGTATTATTTTAAAATCATAAAAATAATCAATGACAGAGAGAGTCTGTATCTGATGTTGATCTGGCTGAAGCCTGACCCATTTCATGACGTCAGTACTGAAGCAGATTGATCTTTGATATTTGTCCTCGTGCACTACAATATTACACTGTGACAGAACAACTGATCAATTATTCAATTCAATTCCATTTTACTTGTATAGCGGCAAATCGTAGCACTTTACGTATTAAGGCCAAGACCATGAAATTGTAGAGACACCTAACATTTTCCACAATAACCGGAAGATACCAATGTGAGCAGATGATACACAAAATGGAATATGTCACCTGTTAAATAACAAGAATAGTCGAGATGAGTTTCACTATCCAAACAGTAATGTGCAAAAGTCTGTTACAGCCAGTTCAATGTTTCGATCAGACACTGTAACATGTGTATGGGGAACAAGCTGTGGAACTATTAACGTAAAACTTAGTCTCATGTGCACATATCTCTTGATTTAAACTGACAGATGAATTCCACATATTGTCATAATATCTACATTATATCACATTGTTGTAACTTAGCTTGCTTGCATGGCTTAAACAGCCTCTGAGTGTGTGTTTTTTTCCCATCAATGTGAATGTGGATTCTCGTGTTGTTTATTATCACATTATTATTCCTGCAGCTCATTTCACCCAACCAGCCATATTGAGTTGTTTGTTGGCCGCTGTGAGGCGCTGCTCTCCGCTAGGTGGCAGCAGTGTGTGTGTGTCCGCCTGCCTGCGTGCTGTTGAGCCTTTGTTTATAGGAGCCACAGAGACAGAGGGGCCATGCTGCTCGCTGGCATTGTCCCTGACACAGAGTAACTGGCTGCGGGACAATGGCCGTGGCCCTGACAGCCACACAGCACCCGCTCAGCAACAATAATGACACCGGTTTTCTCCCCTTTACCTCCCAGCTCACTCTCCTCTGGCGTCGCTTCCTCCTCTCCGCTTATTATTAATGAGAGCAGCTCAGTCTGCTCGGCGCACCGGGGCTCGGGCTCCAGTCCCCCGCTCTCTGCCTCTTCCATCACCGGCCTCTTGAAACCCTGGCTCGTCTTCCTCCTTCCGTCCCTGTAGCGCAGCGCCGACTTGTCACGCTCACGACAACAACATGTTCGCGGCAGTAACGCGCTCACCCCGCTCGACACGCATCTGTCCGCCGGAACGAGCCGAGGAGCCCGTGCTCTGCGATGTCTCCCCCCCCCCACCACCACCACCACCACGCGCCCCCCGCACGCACGGGAGCCAAGTTAACTTTTCATAGAACCGCACCGGCAGGTATTCAGGTACTCCTCCGCGGACACAGCGCGCTCCTCCGGCCTGTCTGTGGGGAAGCGCCGCGGCGCAGGCCGACTCTCGTGTATTTTAAGGCTCCTGCTTGTCTTCAGGGTGGGGAGCCGGACTAGGGGCCCCTGGGGCTCCTTAAGGGGCTCCTGGGTAAATTTAAAGAGACAGTAGCAGCGTCGACAATGCACACCCACCCCCCCCCTGTGCGTGTGCGTGAGTGTGTACGTGTGTGCGCGGGGTTGGGGGGCAGCGGAGCAGCAGGCGCTAATACAGATAAGCTGCTAATACTAATGCTGTTGTTCTCACAAAATCATGCGGTGAGAGGAGGTTTGCTGCGGGGAAGCATCGGTTAACGCACGAGGCGGGGCCTCGCTGAATCAGGGCCCCCACAGCTCCGGCCTCGTCGTGTTCAGTGCTGGAGCTCCTGCACACCAGATCCTGTTTATAACCACGGTGTTATAGCACACGACAACCAGCCTGATAATACAGCAGGGATCGAAATGCTGCTAATGGACCCAAACCCACGTGAGATCAGTGGAGCATGATGCCACTGATGCTTCAAAGGTTACTTAAAGGTTCAGTGTGTAGAATTTTGTGACCTAGATCTAGCAGGGAAGTTGCAGCTGAATAGCCCTCAGAGAACCCGTGGTAGTCTTCTGTTGTCATAGAAACTCAAAAGGTGTTTAGTTTGTCCAGCACAGATGACTGTAAAAACATGGCGGCCTCCGTACAGAGGACCCAGTCAAGATGTAAATATAAAGTATTTAATCATATAGGCCCATTCTAGGGTAATTAAACAACAATTCATACAATTTACATAATTTACACACTAGTGAAAACATCACAAGGATTATTTTATATTCAATTTCTGCCAATAGATCCCTTTCACCTAAATCTTACACACTAGACCTTTAAAGGATGAATCATTTATAAATTGTTGCTCCACCATTAAATCAACGTTTTAACTCTAGTTATAGATTCTGTTGGATATTTAGTGCTATGTACTGTAATTGAATAATGAAGTATTCTTCTGTTGTTGGGCGTTGGCCCCTTTTCCAAGATTGGCCCATCAAAAATAAACACAATAATATTGGTAAAAGGAAAAAATTTACAATATTAAGATATGAATTTCTTATTTGTCCCTCTCCTGGACTCTGCTGCTACAAACCATCTGCTCCAAGATCTTTCTCGATTGCACGTTTGATTACAGTTTGATTCTTTTATTCAAACCAAAACAATAAACTGCATCTATAACCCTGAAGCTCCTGCATTAAAAAAAAACCATCAAATGAGTTCGTCTGCAGAAAAAGCCAATAAATCAATGGACCTTTGTCCAGCTGTTCCAGGCAGGACCATGTGAGCTATAACAGAAATACACTGAGTTTTATTTTGCCCGGGTTTTGAATTACTTTCTCCCAAATACAGGCTTCACCGAAATAGAAGTGACAGTCGAGCTTTGGTGGGAATAAGGAGACATATATCAGCTGATTGTTTGACTGTGGTGAAAATCATTTTAATGTATGTGGGTCTGATCAGAAGAGGGGGGG